GGGTGATGTGGAAGGAACTCTCCTACTACCCCACATCATTTACTTGTCAAATCTCTACAGTCAGCCCAGGCACAAGGTGTGGACCATAGGAAGTCTGGGATTGGATATACACGGGGGAATATTTGTCATCTTTCTCAACTGTGAAAGATTCTCTTCCCTGACCCTACACCGCCACACAAATTCCTCCCAAGGTGTTCGAGGCGGAGCTCTAATGGTGAGGGTAGGGTACTCAGGCTAGCTAAAGTCACCAGGATGGCTGTAGGGTGGAGTAGAGTATTCCATGAAGACTTCCGAGCTCCTGGGAGTCTTTTTGTACTTTTTCCACAAAATGGTAGATCTCTCTGCCTAGGAAAAGTCTTATTTAATTAGAGGAGAAGCAGCCATGGAATTGTGGAAAAGAAATGCTAGAGACAAGTAGCTCTTGCTTTGGTGTGTACCTAGACAGGTGAGGTGAACAACTGAAAGTACCAAGAACAGCAAGAAGAAACCTAGTTCAGCCTGCCTAGCTGTGAAGCAAACTTTTCCTCAAACAGCAGAATCAGCTCAGCCTGAATTAAGACCCCAGGAGGGGTATTCAAGTAGATCCTTCAGTCTAGATAGGGAGACAAAACGTATTTGTATATGTGCATATGTGTACACATATGCGTGTAGAAATAAATTAAATATTGTAGAACACCATAAAATCAAAAGTAACCTTGCTTGGTTTAGACAATTAGTGGTGCTTGAGTTGTGAAGGGGAAGATATTAGCAAGGTTTAGAATAGTCTGAAGGTTTGGGGGATTACCTCAGCATGAGCCCCAGCTCCCTTCTCTTGCCACTTTTGCATTCTGTCTCTACCCGTCCCTCCACCTCAGTGCAAGAATGAGCACCTTGGAACATATGGACAAGTTCAATTTTATAGCATATAAAGTTTGAGGGGAACAGAGGCTGGGGTGGTGCGTGTGGCTGGGAAGGTAACAGTAACGGTAATGGTAAGGTTGATGATAGCTAATGTTTAGGCAGTGCTTCTAAGCACTTTAAATGCCTTAATAATTATAATCTTTTAAACAAATCATGATGTGATAAGAACAACAATAAAATCAACAGTAATGACTATCTTAGCTGTTCATAGTTCCCAAGAAAACTGAAGCTTAGGCAGAAGCCTTCTATGCTAATTTTTTTTTTTTTTTTTTTTGGCCACGCCACCACACGGCATGTGGGATCTTAGTTCCCCGACCAGGGATCGAACCCATGCCCCCCTGCAGTGGAAGTGCAGAGTCTTAACCACTGGACCGCCAGGGAAGTCCCCTGTATGCCATTATTTTATTAGGCAATGCAATCTCAGGTGTCATAGGCGAAAGATCAGGGTGAGTAATGCAGGCAAGGAGGGAGAGGCCATATGAAGATGCTAGCCATCTGGCCACCAGTATAACTAAATGCTCAAACCATGGGACCACATATCTGAGAAGTTACATAAATTCTGTCTCAGAACTGTCCCTGGGTGGGAAAGAAAGGCTAGGGGAACAATTTATATACTGACCCTTGCCTCCCATTGTCCAGGGTGTTAACTTCCCTGCCTTTCCTCACTGTATATTTGAGCCTGTGGGTACCAATTATGATCCTGCAGTAGCTTCAGCAGGGCAGCACTTGAGTGAGAAGAAAGGGAAGAAGCCAGGCACGGGTAGGAAGTGAGGCACTCTCAAGATGCTACTGCTTAAATTGGATAAGAAAGCATGAGAGCTGGAAGACACAGAAGGTAGAAGGAACTGCGTTGATACATAAGCAGTGTCTGATATTGCCTCCCACTTGTGTCATGCAGATTATACCCTCCATGATATCCAGCTCCCAGTTTACTAAAGACATAAAGGGAACAATTTTTCTTTACTTTTTTTTTTTGGTGAGAACACTATTCTATCCATTCTTTCCTGTGAGAGAAATTTTATCTAACCAGTCACAAAGTTTTTCATGATGGTGGCTAGCTGCAATCTCTGAGTGACCTAAGGCAAGAGAGTTAGTGAAACAGGTAGTTTCCATGATAGTAACTGTATTGAAGCCTTAGTTGATATTTAAAATCTACCTTTTCTATCACCAGTCTCCCTCAGCCTCAGTCAGGCCTTTAGCTGGTCTGGGTTGGCTGGCCTGTGGGATGGTGTGGACCTTCATCCCCCTAGAGGTCTAAGCCCTTAGTTTCTTTGCCCTCATTTGACTGTGGTTGCTACAGTTGCCCCTTTATATTGTTATAGTTGGTGGGTTTCTAAGCCAGTCATGGCTAAGATCATGGGGTAGGAAGCACAATTCCTCAGTGGGTTCCTGGGGAGGGGTAATCAGAGAGACCATTCTGATCTCCACCCCTTGATTCTCAGACTCATGTATTCTAGCTATTAGGGGCAAAACACCATAAATATATGTGTATTTTTCTCATGTATATCCCTCTGTTTTCTCATGTATCCCTAACAGCTAGAAAAAATGAAGTTGTGTATCATTTCACAAGGTGTCATTCTTCAACTTGTGTCTTATCTGAATGTTGCATGTTGGGTTCCCTGGGTAGCTGACTCTGGGACAGAGATTAGTGTGTAGGAGGTTTATTAGGCAGTGCTTTGGGCTCACTGTCTTTAGAAGGGAAGGAATGTAAAGGAACCAGGATTGAGCAGAGAGAGCTGTTGGGCTGTGATTCCGTTCTGAATTGGGGTGAGAAGGCCGAGTCTTTATACCTCTGTGCCAATCAGTCTTGGCTGCCCTGGGGAAGATTCATGCCCTTGGATGAGTGGATCCCTTTAGTGGGTACAGTTCCTAAAAAGGGCTGACAGCTGAGGCCTATCTGTTGTCAGCAGTCCCAGCACCTGGGGGAATATGTCCTTCTTTCCTGAAGAGGAACTTTGGTAGAGTATCATGGCATCCACCTCACTGAGCCTTTTCAAGGACATGCCACTAGTCTATTAGATTGGCCTCTTCTAGGGGTAGATGGTAAGATCACTGTCATATGCCTATCATTACACCTCCTTGGCTGTAGGGTCAGTCTCTCAGTTTGAGACACAGTCGTTTGGGGTCCCAGGTCAACAGATTAGACATTCAGTAAGCACTTAGATGATGGGGCTGGAGGGGATACTGAGGATAAGGAAGGTCAACTCATATCTGGAGAGTGTGTCTATTCCAGTAAGGATGATCTGTTACTTTTTCCAGGATGTAAGGTGTCTGAGGTAATCGGTCTTCCACAAAATGGTTGGTTCTTCTCCTGGAGGAACTGTTCCATATCAAAGGCTAGAGATTTAGATCTGTAGTACTGGCAGAGGGTAGGTAAGCCTTGGTGAGAGGGAGGCCATACTATTGAGCCCTTGCATAGTCTCCACTCTTGTCATCATGACTACTCCATTCATGGGCCCGTTGTGCAAACACTGATGGGCATTAGCAGAAGAAGCAAAGTGTCCACTGCCAGAAACGTACATCTCTTCCCCAGAATTCCTTCTGCAGTCTTCCACTCTTGTTACTTCTGGGACCTTAACCAGCCAAGCCATTTTCTGCCACCCGGGAGTCTGTGACTATCTTTTTCTCCTAGCCACTTTTCTCTCCACACAAATTGGACCATCAAGTATACTGATTATGGATCTGCTCACTAGGAGGATTTGCTTTTTCCTCTCTCCTTTAGGGCCACTCTGGTTTTTTTTTGTTTTTTTTGATGTCCAGAATTTTTATTGGAGCTTTTTTTAAAAAATATTTTTATCAGCAGGGATTTTAATTTATTTATTTATTTTTGCTGTGTTGGGTCTTCACTTCTGTGCAAGGGCTTTCTCTAGTTGTGGCAAGTGGGGGCCACTCTTCATCGTGGTGCACGGACCTCTCACTATCACGGCCTCTCTTGTTGCGGAGCATAGGCTCCAGACGCGCAGGCTCAGTAGTTGTGGCTCACAGGCCCAGTTGTTCCGTGGCATGTGGGATCCTCCCAGACCAGGGCTCAAACCCGTGTCCCCTGCATTAGCAGGCACATTCTCAACCACTGCACCACCAGGGAAGCCCTGGAGCTTTTTTTTTCTTTAGAAAATATAGTTGATTTACAATATTATGTTAGTTTCAGCAAATTGATTCAGTTATGCATACTTATCATCTATCTATCTATCTATTCTTTCCATTACAGATTATTACAAGATATTGAATATAATTCCCTGTGCTATACCATAGGTCCTTGTTGTTTATCTATTTTATATATAGTAGTGTGTTGTCTGTTAATCCCAAATTCCTAATTTATCCCTCCCCCTCCCCCTGCACCCTTTCCCCATTGGTAACCACAAGTTTGTTTTCTTTTCTGTTTGTTTGTTTTTGTATTTTTTTAAACATCTTTATTGGAGTGTAATTGCTTTACAATGGTGTGTTAGTTTCTGCTTTATAACAAAGTGAATCAGTTATACATATACATATGTTCTCATATCTCTTCCCTCTTGCCTCTCCCTCCCTCCCACACTCCCTATCCCACCCCTCTAGGTGGTCACAAACCACCGAGCTGATCTCCCTGTGCTATGCGGCTGCTTCCCACTAGCTATCTACCTTACATTTGGTAGTGTATATATGTCCATGCCACTCTCTCACTTTGTCACAGCTTACCCTTCCCCTTCCCCATATCCTCAAGTCCATTCTCTAGTAGGTCTGTGTCTTTATTCCCGTCTTACCCCTAGGCTCTTCATGACATTTTTTTTTTCCTTAGATTCCATATATATGTTAGCATACGGTATTTGTTTTTCTCTTTCTGACTTACTTCACTGTGTATGACAGACTCTAGGTCCATCCACCTCACTACAAATAACTCAATTTCATTTCTTTTTATGGATGAGTAATATTCCATTGTATATATGTGCCACATCTTCTTTATCCATTCATCTGTTGATGGACACTTAGGTTGCTTCCATGTCCTGGCTATTGTAAATAGGGCCACTCTTGAGGGGGGCTGTCTTATGAGAGCCAGGCACTTTTTGTTAGCACCAAAATATTTCCCAGTCCATCTGTGAACCAAGCCTGATTTTTTCCTCCCTTAGTTTGTCCTAGAGATGGAGTTTTTCATGAGCTGAAGGAGAAGCGTCAGTGCAGTAGAGGTCAAGGACATGGAGTCTAGGCTCTGTTCAAAGAGTTTAATCATGGCTTCTGGACCTGCTCTATCTCTACTAAGGTATGACTGCACACCAGAAGCTACTTTTCAAATGGTGAGTAGTTCTCTGATGCAGTAGTCTTGTCTGTGCTCCAGACTGCTAGCGCTGTGTACTGTACCCCTCCTATTTGGGCTTGCTAAGGATTTTACACATCTGTGATAACTGCTGTGCATACCATCAGCAAGAGTGGAGCTTCTGGGCCATACAACCTGAGTGGTAAGGAAACTTGCGCCACAGCAAAACTGTCAGTCTCCTAAGTCACCTGGTACATGGGTTAGGTGTGATGTATACTAATATTTTTAAGTGTAACATATGCTACCTCCAAAATCCAAAGAAGTAATCAAACATATAGGAGATTAGTAATGAAACAATGTGTCTTTTACTTTAGAGGGGGTGTAATGACATGCCCCAGGCCACTACATTCCTTAAAATCTCACAGATGTGGCAGGCTCCTGTATCTTCATAGGATTTTTCTTGTATCTTCTAGCATAATGTGTCTTTCCAGAGCATCCATAGTATTTGCCACATTAGTGTCAATAGTATGATGTCATCAATATGCAGGAACACTAATATGTTCTTTGTAATGTCAAGGTGATCAAGGTTCCTGTGGATTATATTTTGACAGAGAATGAGTGAATTAGCTTGGCCCTTGGCAGGATTGTTAAAGTATAATTCTGTCCCTGTCTCCCATTAGATCTCTTTATCCTTTCTCGATGGAGATAGAGAAGAATACATTCCCTAGATAAATAGCTGCAGAACCAGCGCCTGAAGCCATTTCGTTTTGCTCCAAAAGAGATGCCACATCTGGGAACAGCATCTGCCCTTGAGGCGCCCACCTTTAAGCTTATGGTAGTCTACTGTCCTCTGCCACACTTCATCTGGTTTTCTCAGGTGTCAAAGTGCTGAAGGGGGAAGTGATGGAGAGTACCACCCTTGTTTTCTTGAAGCCTTGGAGGGTTGTGCTAATCTCTGAAATTCCTCTTGGGATACAGTATTGCTTGTGACTTGCTATTTCAGCCAACACTGAGGCAGTTTCAGAGGCTTCCACTTGAACTTTCCTACCATAATGGCTCTTATTCTACAAGTTAGACAACAAATGTGAGGCTGCTTCTAGGAGTTAAATATATCTCTCCAGTTATACACTTGGGAACTAAGAAATGAGCAGGTCTGCAGTTGTATTGGACTCACTCTAGAATGATATACTACTCCATTTATCACCTGACCTCCACAGGCATTCACCGTAACCAGAGAATTATTATGGAATTTTGGCTTTCCTACTGTTAGTGGCAGCTCAGATCCTGTACCTCAAAATCCTCAAAAATTTTGGATATTCTGGACATTCCTTTCCCTGGTGTACAGTTAGCCTGGAAAATGGCTTCACATCTTTTTTGGGGAAGAACTGGGGAAGTATTCATTGTATAAACCTGTGGTGAGTTACATGTTTCTCAGTAGGATCTGTAGTCCTCTTTAATCAGTGGTTTCTGAATCTAAGAACAAAAGAAGAACAAGAAAATTAAAATGTCGTGGAAACCAAGGAACTAGAAAATTTCAAGGGGACTACTATATATTTACCTAAACCAATGTCCTTCACTTCCGGGAAACATAACTAAATGACTTCTCTGGCAGTTATCTGAGGCCACGTGACTGAGTTCTGACCAGTAGAATGCAGGCAGTGTAATGTACACAACTTGAAAGTGGGATGATCGTTCCATAGAAATCTCCCACTCATCACAGGGAGCAGAACAGAAGGATATGGGGCACCAAAGACACATTTTGCCTGATTCCTGGTTTCCCCTTTGTCTTCTCTCAGGTATCTAGTAATTCATACTATTTGGATGAAAGAGGATTGGAGCTGGAGTTAGGAGTCCTGGGTCTGCTTCCTGGTTCCATCATCTATCAGCTCAGGTGAAGCATGTAATCTTGACCATCTAGTTACTTCATCTATAAGATGAAGCATTGGATAAGGTGATCTCTCAGCCTCTTCTTGTCCCTAAAGTTGTATGAATATGAAATATAATCTGAAATTGATTCACAGTAAGGAGCCAATGACTGATTTGGGGGATTATCCATTTCAGGGGTCTTTGTTTTAGCAGATGTGGAAGCTACTTCCTGGCTTGGCTTGTTTTGCTGGGGAATTAGAGCGGTCTCCGTCCTGACTAATAAATCCCATTTCTTTTTCACTTTAAATTCTACTGCAGATCAATGCTGGTCCTGAAGATTAGTTTGGGGCCTTGATGTCGCAGGGGGATTGCAGCAATGCAACATGCTAGGATGTGCTTAATCTGTGTAAGAGTGCACAGCAGGCCCTGTATACTTAAATCCTCCAGAGAACGTGATTGAATATTCAAGTAAGTTTCCATGAATGGAACTTTTAATGCTTAACATCTTCTACCAAAATAGCATTTTCTTTTCTTATCTTAAAGAGATCCTCTGGAGAACAAATAAAATGTTCACACCAAGGAAGAACACTCTATAATCATAATTATGTTACTCTAAAAGGCTATAATAAGCTTTAAGCAAGTGCTTCCTATTTTATTCTCACTGCAAACAATTTATAAGGAGAACTGCCCTCTTGACGTGATAATGAAAGAGCAGTCACACATGTCAGCTGGGGCAATTATGTTCTTCAGGTGTCTGCCATAAGTATTGTATGATTCCTTCCTGCTGACACCTTATCAACTGTGACATGCATATTAAAAAGAACACCCAAGAGAGCTAACTTCAAAATCTTGAGTACTTTCAAGAAGTTCCACTTGCATCAAAAAGCTCCGTACCTTATCTTCCAAGATAGTCTTCTTTGCTACATGAGTTTTGGATCTCAGATGGAAAAGAAAGAACAACAACAAAAACAGGCAGAAATATGCATTTTGATAGTACACAGTAGCCTAGTGAATCAGAGCCTTAAAAATTTACCTGGTTTACTATATCAGTGAATAAAAAATCCACAGTCAGACAGATATGGGTTCAAATTTCAGCTCTGTCACTTCCTAGCTTTTTGACTTTGGTCAAGGGGCACATTTTTTGAGCTTCACATATAAAAAGGTAAAGATGCAGACCACATTGCCCTGGTTGCTGGGAGGTTGAATGAGAGACCAAGTAGTGGAGCACTATGCTTTGGTCTATCACAGGAACCCTGACATGTTAGTCCCCTCCTTCTTGTATGTTTTTAGCAGGACCTAGAGGGTGCCTGCTCTGGGTATGCTTTGGATGTTACCCGGAGAGTCCCTAAGTCCCATGGCCTTTCTGTTGAGGAGGAGGAATGGGGGCTTAGAGGGACCAGAGAGCACTTGCAGCTCAGTCTAGCTCCAAAACTCTCTGTGTGCAGATTAAACATTTTTTCTCAGCTCTTCCTTTCCCGTCTCTCCTTTCCCAAGATGAAGTCATCTGGCCCAGTTCCTCAAAGCTTTCCCAGCCATCGTCAGTGCCGACTGCCCAGAGGCCTCCCAAGGCGTGGGCTTCGCCATCAGTCACTGGGCTCCTGCCAGGGTGCTGCTGTGACTCTCAGTGTTACTCTTCAGGCACCTGCCTCGTCAGGGACCCAGGACACTGAGTGGCCCGGCACCTCTCTCCTCCTCTCCTCACCCAGCACAGCCGTCTTCTATTTTAAGCAGGTATAAGCATTTCCGGGTGAAGACTATTCCAGGGCTCCTCCACAGGCCTTTCCAGAGCATTGTTATCTGGGCAGTCCAGACACCTTCTTTGTTATTCATAGATAACCTAAATGTCTTTTTGACATCTCCAATCTCGTCCCTCTCATTCAGTTCACTTTTGGCACCAAACCCCATCAGGTACTCAAGCCATCACTTTCTAGCCATGATCCTTTTAGGAAGGCAAGTAATTAATTGTTAATTGTCTTTGTTCCTCTATTCGGATTCTCTCCAGCTTAACCATCGCTTTTTTAAAGTTTGCAGAACAAACGGCACAATCTTCTATGAGGGGTTTCACTGTGTAAAGGAAAAATCATATCTGGGCTCTTGGTCATCATACTACTTTTGTTATGCCCTGGAATCTGTTACCTTATTGCTTTCATTCACAGCACTGTGGTGTGGCCGACAGATACTAAAAATCTCTTGCTGTAGTTGGTTAATATATGCTAGTCTTATTAGTAACTGTTCATTAGTAGTAACTAATCATTTTTACTTATGGGGGTGTTTGTGTGTGTATGTGTATGAGAGATAGAGATAGAGGGAGAGAGGAGATTTTGAACCATGTATTCATTCATTCATTCACTCTAAAGTCACTTTCTTGTTCCTTAACTGTGGTGAAAGAGCTCTGAGATATCAGATCAGGAATACTAGGTTCTTGTGCTGACTAAAATCAGCTTACTCTGTGATCTTGGGCAAGTGGTGACCTAACCTCCTTGGATCTTAGACTATCCAGCTGTGAAATGGAAAGGTAGGACTAGACCTATAAAGCACCTTCTCACATCAGTATTCCAGAAGCATATTCTGTTTTACATTTTATGCTTGTCTTTCTTTAAATTAATTGTTGCCCTAGTACACCATCACCAGAAGTTAGAGCTGAGTGCTTGATGATATCCTTCCTTCCATATAGATTGCATGTTTCTTCTTTAAATATCTTTCTTTTTTAAGATTATCTGTGACTATCATCATAACCAAATTTCTATAGCCTGAGGTATGAGAAAAATAAGTGGATTATTTTGATTCACCTTTCCAGGAAGGAGCTTATGATTACTTGTTATAACTGGTGGGTTGTTTTTTTTTTTTAACATCTTTATTGGGGTATGATTGCTTTACAATGGTGTGTTAGTTTCTGCTTTATAACAAAGTGAATCAGTTATACATATACATATGTTCCCATATCTCTTCCCTCTTGCGTCTCCCTCCCTCCCACCCTCCCTATCCCACCCCTCCAGGCGGTCACAAAGCACCGAGCTGATCTCCCTGTGCTATGCGGCTGCTTCCCACTAGCTATCTACCTTACGTTTGGTAGTGTATATATGTCCATGTCTCTCTCTCGCCCTGTCAAAGCTCACCCTTCCCCCTCCCCATATCCTCAAGTCCGTTCTCCAGTAGGTCTGTGTCTTTATTCCTGTCTTACCCCTAGGTTCTTCATGACATTTTTTTTTCTTAAATTCCATATATATGTGTTAGCATACGGTACTTGTCTTTCTCTTTCTGACTTACTTCACTCTGTGTGACAGACTCTAGGTCTATCCACCTCATTACAGATAGCTCAATTTTGTTTCTTTTTATGGCTGAGTAATATTCCATTGTATATATGCGCCACATCTTCTTTATCCATTCATCCGATGATGGACACTTAGGCTGTTTCCATCTCCGGGCTATTGTAAATAGAGCTGCAATGAACATTTTGGTACATGACTCTTTTTGAATTATGGTTTTCTCAGGGTATATGCCCAGTAGTGGGATTGCTGGGTCATGTGGTAGTTCTATTTGTAGTTTTTTAAGGAACCTCCATACTGTTCTCCGTAGTGGCTGTACCAATTCACATTCCCACCAGCAGTGCAGGAGGGTTCCCTTTTCTCCACACCCTCTCCACCATCACCTTGATACCAAAACCAGACAAGGATGTCACAAAGAAAGAAAACTACAGGCCAATATCACTGATGAACATAGATGCAAAAATCCTCAACAAAATACTAGCAAACAGAATCCAACAGCACATTAAAAGGATCATACACCTTGATCAAGTGGGGTTTATTCCAGGAATGCAAGGATTCTTCAATATACGCAAATCAATCAATGTGATAAACCATATTAACAAACTGAAGGAGAAAAACCATATGATCATCTCAATAGATGCAGAGAAAGCTTTTGACAAAATTCAACACCCATTTATGATAAAACCCTGCAGAAAGTAGGCATAGAGGGAACTTTCCTCAACATAATAAAGGCCATATATGACAAACCCACAGCCGACATCATCCTCAATGGTGAAAAACTGAAAGCATTTCCACTAAGATCAGGAACAAGACAAGGTTGCCCACTCTCACCACTCTTATTCAACATAGTTTTGGAAGTTTTAGCCCCAGCAATCAGAGAAGAAAAGGAAATAAAAGGAATCCAAATCGGAAAAGAAGAAGTAACTCGTGGTTTTGACAATTCACATTGGCCCAGATTCTGGAGACACAGATTTCAGTGGGAGGCTTAGCTCTAACACTTACCAGATGTATGGCTTTGGACAACTCAGATTTATGTTCTCCCATTTGCAAGCCAAGAAAATAACTACTTTGCAGTGCTGTTGAAGAAGTAGGGAAGGAGAAAGATTTTAGGTAATGTGTGTGTAATTCCTAGAACATATTGGTTACTCTGTGACTCTTATTCCTGTGTTCAACTATATCTGTAAAGGATGGAAATAGGCTGTATGTCTTTTTCTGGAAACAGTCACCAAGTAAGTCACCCTGAGTTAAGGACAAGCAAATGCCCTGCAAGTTCTGTGCTCTAGACCAAGTTCTAATTTGCCTCTGAAAGTCTCCTTAGGTTGAGACTCAGAATTTGCACCGAGTTCAGGAAAGACTTATCTCTGCCTCTCCCATCCCTCCTGCCCTTGTTTAGATAACCTGCCCTTCTGTTAAATTAATGTGCTATGATTGGTAGCTCCCAAAGCTACTTGATTGCACTTGTTGGCTCTGCATTTTTTGAGTGATTATAGGTCGATCATTTGATGATCTGTTCTAGTATCACCCAGAGTTTGTGACATTCAGCTGACTCATCTGTCATTTTCAAGATCATCCTTCTCTTCTCCTTTCTAAGTTGGTCCTGACATTTTCTCTTTTCCAAAACATGGGGAATTCTCTAATGGAATTTATTTTAAAAATCCCACAGGCCACATTATGCGGCCAAAAAAAAAAAAAAAACAACTAAGTAGCAGCTTGACAGTGATGTCTACCCATTGATTAAAATCTGCCGTAATCACCAGCCCTTGTCCTAGAGGGACCTGGCACGTAAAAGGAGCCCCTCTTCTTGCCAGTTTGGAGGTCTATGGCAGGAGGTCTTTAACGCTTATTCTCACTATGTGCTTTCAGACCTTCAAACATGTATAAGACGTATAAATCCATACGGTTTTTAACTGAGAAGACTCAATTAACTTCACGCAGGTGGGACTTGCAGTTAGTTACTAAGGTGCATTTCCTGTCCCTGCCACCTAAAAGGAAGGGCTGCTGTTGCTCTAGTGGAATAATTTGATGTGGCAGCTGCTTTGTTGCAGTGAACAGTCATTGAGATCAAGCTGGGGAGAAACTCAACCATCTCTTGTTAATACAATAATGGCCAACATGTATTGAGTGCTTCCTATAGGCCAGGCACTGTGCTACGAACTTTATATGGATTATCTCATTTAGTGCTGAAAGTATTCTTATGAATTA